AAAAAAAAAAAAAAAAAAATTTTTCAGCAAGCCACAGAATATCTGGGAATGAAGGTTCAACATGCACTGTTTCCTTAACCCCTCACCAACCTTTCTGTTCACTGGTCATTCAGGCCATGCCTAGACATCTTAACTTTAGTACAATATTATTTATTTATTTTGAGTTGGTGGTCTCACTCTGTCACCCAGGCTGGAGTGCAGTGGCACCGTCACAGTTTACCGCAGCCTCCACCTCCTGGGCTCAGGCAACCGGGCTCCCGCCTCAGCTCCCAAAGTGCTAAGATTGCAGGCGTGAGCCACAGTGCTCAGCACCTGGAATATTTTACAACTCAATTCTAAATTTAGTTAAAAGATAGCTTAATTTTCCTACCTTCATTAGTAAGAAAATGTTTTAATTTTAAAAAGTAAACATTTTTTCTTTTAAATCACAGATTGTGGCCTGTGTTGGAGACAAATGAAGTTGCAAGAAGGCTGATGGATGGAATACTCACCAATAAGAAAATGATTTATGTCCCTTCATATATCACTGTCTCTCTGATACTGGAGAGGTAAGTACAGCACAGAACACCTAAAGTGCTGAAGCGCCAATAGAGCTATTATTAAGGAGAATCTTTCCGTTGTGAAAGTTGCCATGGAAACTCTCAGTCCCTGGGAGAACAATTAGGTTTCCTGTTATTGCCTTACCCAATCTATAAAAAGAAGAAAAGATTCATTCTCTCTGCCAAATCTACCATCTCTGCCTAATCTTTGCTGAAGACTGTTCTAAACGAAAGAAAGTTTAGAAAGAATGCAGTATAGTGAAGTAGCTAATAATAAAAGCTCTATTTTTAAAAACCTGCGGAGGTTTTGATTGGGATTGCATTGAATTTATAGATCAGTATATAGAGGGATAATTGACATATCAATATTGAGTTTTCCAATCCAAGACTTTTTCAGAATCTGTAAGCAATATTTTGTAGTTTTTGGTGTTCAAGTCTTGCACATCTTTTGTCAGATTTTTCCCAAAGTATTTCATGGTTTTAATGTTATTGCAAGTGATATTTAAAAAAAAAATTATATTTTCCATTATTTGTTGCTAATATATATTTAATGTTTGCATTTTATCTTCTATTCTGCAATCTTGCTGAACTTTTAATCTGCTAATTTTGCTAACCTTTTTTGAAGATTCCATTAGATTTTTTATATAGACAATAATATGATCTGTGAATAAGGATGCTTTAACTTTTTCCTTTATAATCTGCATGGTTTTATTCCTTTTTCTTGCTGTATGGCACTGTCTGGAACCTTCAGTTCAATGTTGAGTAGAGTTAGTGAGAGTATACACCTAAGTGTCCTTCCTGATCTTTTTTTTTTGAGTTGGAGTCTCACTCTGTCACCCAGACTGGAGTTCTGTGGTTGCTCCCAGCCACTGCAGCCTCGACCTGCTGGGCTCTGGCAATCCTTCCGCCTCAGCCTTCCAAGCAGCTGGAACTACAGGCGCATGCTACCATGCCCGGCTAATTTTTTGATTTATTGTAGAGATGGGGTCTCGTCAAGTTGTCCAGGCGGGTCTCGAACCCGCGGGCTCAGGCAATCCTCTCACCTCAGCCTCCCAAAGGCGCGGGATTACAGGCTGAGCCACCGAGCCCAGCTCTTTCCTGATTTTAAGAGTAAAGTATTTAGTCAGGCTCAGTGGCTCAGCCAGTAATCCCGTGCCTTTAGGAGGCTGAGGTGAGTGGATTGCCTGAGCCCGCGGGTTCGAGACCTGCCTGGGCATTGGCGAGACCTCATCTCTACAATAAATCAAAAAATTACCGGGCTCGGTGGCTCAGCCTGTAATCCCGCGCCTTTGGGAGGCTGAGGTGAGTGGATTGCCTGAACTCG